ATCTGTGAGTAGTGAGAATGTTTGCCCATACAAATAGGGCTGCAGTTTCTTCAGGGCCCACACCACGGCAAGGCATTCCTTTTCGATGGCGGCGTAGCTTACTTCTCTGGGTAAAAGTTTTCTGCTGAGGTAAGCTACCGGATGTTCACCGCCATCGGCTCCGATACTACTAATTTCGGGAGGTTCTTGCGGGTTAAGTCGGTAAGGGGCTTGGCTAGGGCGCTGTAGTTAGGTACGAACTTTCGGTAATACCCTGCGGTCCCCAAAAAGGCTAGTACCTGGGTTTTAGTGTGGGGGGTTGGCCATTTAGCTACGGCCTCTATTTTGGCTGGCTCGGGTTTTTGGTGGCCGCTGCCCACTCGGTGTCCTAGGTATTGGACCTCGGCCATCCCTATGTGACATTTACTGGGCTTGAGGGTCAGTCCGGCTTCTCGGATGCGGTCTAGTACTGCCCCGATATGGTCCAGATGATCTGCCCAGGAATAACTAAAGATGGCTATGTCGTCTAAATAGGCACACGCGTACTCCTGAAACCCGTCTAATAATCGGTCCACCATCCTCTGGAATGTGGCCGGGGTGTTCTTCATCCCAAAGGGCATGACCCGAAATTGGTACAGGCCAAATGGGGTGACGAAGGCCGATTTGGGAATAGCGTCCTCGGCTAGAGGAATTTGCCAATATCCCTTGCAAAGATCAATGGTGGTTAAGTATTTACCCCTAGCCATTTTGTCTAGTAACTCATCTATCCGGGGCATGGGATAGGCATCGGACATGGTTTTATCATTGAGTCTCCGGTAATCTACGCAGAAGCGGGTAGTTCCATCCCGTTTCGGCACGAGTACTACGGGGGATGCCCAGGGGCTATCCGAAGGCTCAATTACTCCTAACTGCAACATTTCTTTCAACTCTTTGTACATGTTCCCCCTCACCGCTTCAGGAATGCGGTAGGGCGGTTGGCGGAGCGGGGTCGGGTCCAGGGTTTCTACTCGATGGGTAGCTAGCGGGGTATATCCCGGGAGGTTGGAAAAAGTGGCTTCTTTTTCCCTAATTAGACTTTGGGCTTGAGCTCTTTCCTGAGGATCCAAGCGCTCCCCTAACTGTACAGCGGCTAGATCCTCCTGCAGAGTTCCTCGGGCCAGCATATCAGGGAGGGGTAGGTTATCTGCGTCCTCCGCAGCTGAGGCGCAGATGGCGGATACCTCCTCTGGGCGCTGGCGGTAGGGTTTTAGCATGTTTACATGGAACATGCGTTTACCCCCGATCCCGGCGCAGGGGCCAATTATATAGGTGGTATCACAGATTTGCTCTACCACCTGGAATGGGCCCTGCCAGGAAGCCTGCAGCTTATCAGTAGTGACGGGTCGTAGGACTAGTACCTTCTGGCCGACCTGAAAGCTGCGGTCCCTGGCTCCCCTATCATACCATCGGCGCTGGCGGGTCTGAGCCGCCTGGAGGTTGTCGCGCACGGCCCGGGTCAATGCCTCCAAGCGGTTCCGAAACTCCAACACATAAGGTACGATAGGGGTGCCGTTAATGGTCGTTCCCCCCTCCCAGTGTTCCCTGATTAGATCTAGGGGTCCCCTTACTCTCCTGCCGAATAACAATTCGAAAGGGGAGAACCCAGTGGACTCTTGGGGCACCTCTCGGTAGGCGAACAGGAGGTGGGGTAGGAACCGCTCCCAGTCTTTCTGGGTTGCTACGAACGTGCGAATCATCTGTTTTAGCGTTCCATTGAAACGTTCGCAGAGGCCATTGGACTGGGGGTGGTAGGGGGAGTTAAGGATAGCTTGGACCCCGCATACTTTCCACAGCTGGTGAGTGACCTCAGCGGTGAATTGGGTACCCCTATCGGAAATAATCTCCCGGGGTATCCCCATGCGGGTAAATATGCGCATAAGGGCGTCTACTATGGTCTCTGCATGCACATTTGTTAGGGCCACTGCTTCTGGGTATCTAGTGGCGTAGTCTACTACGGTTAAGATGTATTTTTTGCCAGACGGGCTCTTTTGTTTCAGCGGTCCGATTATGTCTACTGCTACCCGGCTAAAGGGTTCTTCGATTATGGGCAGGGTGTGTAGTTTGGCCTTGTATCGGTCCCCTCGCTTCCCTACTCTTTGGCAGGTATCACAGGTATTACAGTACTGCTTAATATCCTGGGATATCCCTGGCCAGAAGAAATTTTGCAGCAGCCGATGTTTGGTTCGGCTGATCCCTAGGTGGCCTGACATGGGGATGTCATGGGCGATTCGCATTAACTCTTGTCTATACTTCCGAGGCACAATTAACTGTTTGATGGGTACGGGAACTGATCCGGCTACTATCTTTTCGGCATACCGGTATAATAACCCCTTATCCCAAGCGTATCTTTCCCCCTCTATGCCAGTCTGGTTTTTATCTACCCGGTCCTTGTAAACTTGTAGGGATGGGTCTAGGGCGACCTCGCTACCAAATTCTAATGGGGCGGCCCAGGGTAACACAGTGTGATCAGGGGGGTTCGGGCTTACCGGAGCCTCAGAGTCGATGTGTGGTGCCGTGGTGCGAGCCTGTTGACGGGTGACGACCGGGTATGCCTCCTGTGGAGGAGGTCGGGTAACAAAAGCGGAGGTTAGCTCCCCCAAGTCGTTCCCCAAAATCACATCCGCAGGTAGGTCCTGCATCATCCCCACTTCAATTTGCCCTGCCCCCGCTCCCCAGTCCAAATGTAGTTTCGCGGTGGGTACTTTGTAAATGGCTCCCCCTGCCACCCTAACCGCAATACAGTCTCCAGTGAGATGGTTCGGGGCCACTAAATGATTCCGTATCAGAGTGATGGTGGCCCCAGAATCTCGTAATCCCTCCATCCGCTTTCCCTCCACGTGGACCACTTGTCGGTGGCCTTGGCGGTTGTCGGATGCCGCCTGTACCGGGTTTACCTCATGGAGGGTGCCCAAGGGTTCCTCTATTTGGGTAGGGGTGAAAGGTTGAGCCAATGCTCTGGCCTGATAGCAGTGGACTGCGGCTCGAGGGGTGGTTGGTGGTCGTGGAGGGGTCCAGGCCGGCCTGGCCCGGTTTCGGGGACAGTCTCGTTGCATATGCCCAAGCTGGTTACAGGTATGGCACCGGATAGATGCCCTGTTGTTGTACCGGGGGGGTTGTGACTGGTAGGTCCCCCCTGGTCGGGGTGAATCTACTGGGGTAAGTCGGGGAACGTTTGGCGTGGATTGCACTCTAGTAGATGAGTGCTGTTCCCGCCGGGTGTCCGGATGCTCATCTGCTAACTTAGCGGCCTCTTGCAGCGTACGGGGTTTACGATCTCTTACCCAGATCTGTAGATCTTCTGACAAACATTGGTAGAATTGTTCCAGCACCATCAACTGCGTGATCTCTTGGGACGTGATGGCTTTTGCTGCCTCTATCCACCCGGTGGCTGCCCGTTGTAGTCGGTGTGCGAATTCTGCATGCGAGTCTTTTCCCGGTTTGAGTAGTTTCCGGAACTGTATTCGGTATGCCTCAGGTGTAATGGCATATCGTGCGAGCAAGGTTTGTTTTACCTTCTGATAGTCCCGGATGTCCTCTGCCGGCATGGCTCGGTAGGCATCTGCGGCGCGGCCTGACAGGTTACCCGCTAGCAGGGGCACTTGGTCTTCGGTGCTAATGGCATGTAGCTGGCACAACCGTTCAAAGTCCTGTAAATAGCCATCAATGTCCCCCTCGGTATCATTAAATGCTTTAAATGCCTGATACGGTATTTTAGCTTTTGCTGGCGGGGTGGGGACAGCCGTTGCGATTCCTTCTCCCTCTTGTTGGTTCCTCGGTGTCGTTCGCAGCATGATGTATGCCTGTACATCATTGTAAATCTGGTCTGCCTTCTGCGCTGCTATGTCTGGTGGGAATAGAGCCATCCTGCACCTATATTCCCTGGCAAACTCAGATTCCTCCTCCCTTGGAGGTGCTGCAGCAGCTGCGACTCTGTCTCCTTCCATGAGTTCTGCGATTAGGATAGCCTTTGTTTTGTTGCTTGCTATCCTCCCTCTCGCTTCTAGTAGCTCTCTTAGCGTGTCCCGTTTTAAGAGGGTATAATCCGTTTCCATTCAGTCCTTTTTAATTCCTGCTGACTCCTTTTTGCTGTGTAGTACGATCCCACCGCTGCCACCAATTGTAGCGGAGTAGAGGTATTATCCAAGGTAGCTCCACTGGTAGACAGGAACAGCAATCCAAGACAGGTACAAAACAGGTAGCGTAGTTACCATCCCTTCCCTCCAAGAACTAGACGACACATAGCTTGGAGGTCAACTGCCAGGTTTATTCACACATTTGCTTTTATGACTTTTTCCCATGCAAGGGAGGTAACTTAACATATCCAATCACATCGTGGTTACCTCCTCTCCCTCTCCTCCCCTTAGATTAACAGTTAAGCTCATTACTGGGAACAGAGTTTTCCCCCATTTCTGGATGTCCCCTAAATACAGGGGGTATGGTGACAAATGAGGGGTCCCCTGGTTGGTCTGGTCTGGGTGAGCAACATACTCAAATTTCACCCAGATCAGTGAAATTTTCACCCAGATCGTCGAGTTACAGACATTCAAAGATTTGACCGACCGCAGGGATTTGGTAGCCGAAAACAGCTCCATGGATTCTGGCCCTGCGGTCGGTCTATTACACTGAACTGAAAGTACCGAATGTTCAGCCATCCGGCTCTAATCTTAGGTTCGGATGAATCCCCTAGTCTGGGGGATTCATCCTACCGAACGGCGGGCCGTTCGGCAGTTTGAATCGGGCGGTTCCGTGGTCCTGGAGGTCTGAGCGGTGTCTGGGTAGTCGAGCGCCCGGTTTTAGTTCCAGGCGCTCGACGACCAGGCGCCGCTGTTCGGCAGTTAAGATGGCCGCCGCCACGTGGTTTTTATGCGAACGGCGGCCACCCACGAACCCAATTACCTCTCTGGCAACATTGTTTCCCTCTATACAGGGGAAGCACACGACCACAGCAGGGTGGTCGTGCATTCGGCACTTTCCAGCGATTATTAGGACAAATACAAGGGAATAATAATGCAGGTACAGTCCCTTGTGGCTGCTTCTGCCACAGGCTGCCTGATATACAGTATGTGCTGTCTGATATACAGTATGGGCTGGCTGATATACAGTATGGGCTGATATACAGTATGGGCTGCCTGATATACAGTATGGGCTGCCTGATATACAGCATGGGCTGTCTGATATACAGTATGGGCTGTCTGATATACAGTATGGGCTGCCTGATATACAGTATGTGCTGTCTGATATACAGCATGGGCTGTCTGATATACAGCATGGGCTGCCTGATATACAGTATGTGCTGTCTGATATACAGTATGGGCTGTCTGATATACAGTATGGGCTGATATACAGCATGGGCTGCCTGATATACAGTATGGGCTGTCTGATATACAGCATGGGCTCCCTGATATACAGCATGGGCTCCCTGATATACAGCATGGGCTGCCTGATATACAGTATGGGCTGTCTGATATATACAGTATGGGCTGTCTGATATACAGTATGGGCTGTCTGATATACAGTATGGGCTGCCTGATATACAGTATGGGCTGATACACAGCAGCATGGGCTCCCTGATATACAGCATGGGCTGCCTGATATACAGTATGGGCTGATATACAGTATGGGCTGATATACAGTATGGGCTGTCTGATATACAGTATGGCCTGATATACAGTATGTGCTGTCTGATATACAGTATGGGCTGTCTGATATACAGTATGGGCTGCCTGATATACAGCATGGGCAGTCTGATATACAGTATGGGCTGTCTGATATACATTATGGGCTGCCTGATATACAGTATGGGCTCCCTGATATACAGCATGGGCTGTCTGATATACATTATGGGCTGCCTGATATACAGCATGGGCTGCCTGATATACAGCATGGGCTGTCTGATATACAGCATGGGCTGCCTGATATACAGTATGTGCTGTCTGATATACAGTATGGGCTGTCTGATATACAGTATGGGCTGCCTGATATACAGTATGTGCTGTCTGATATACAGTATGGGCTGATATACAGTATGGGCTGTCTGATATACAGTATGGGCTGCCTGATATACAGTATGGGCTGTCTGATATACAGCATGGGCTGTCTGATATACAGCATGGGCTGTCTGATATACAGTATGGGCTGTCTGATATACAGTATGGGCTGATATACAGCATGGGCTGCCTGATATACAGTATGGGCTGTCTGATATACAGTATGGGCTGCCTGATATACAGTATGGGCTCCCTGATATACAGTATGGGCTCCCTGATATACAGTATGGGCTGTCTGATATACATTATGGGCTGCCTGATATACAGCATGGGCTGTCTGATACACAGCATTGTCTGCCTGATATAGAGTATGGGCTGTCTGATATACAGTATGGGCTGCCTGATATACAGTATGTGCTGTCTGATATACAGTATGGGCTGCCTGATATACAGTATGGGCTGATATACAGTATGGGCTGTCTGATATACAGTATGGGCTCCCTGATATACAGTATGTGCTGTCTGATATACAGTATGGGCACCCTGATATACAGTATGGGCTGATATACAGTATGGGCTGTCTGATATACAGTATGGGCTGCATGATATACAGTATGGGCTGATATACAGTATGGGCTGTCTGATATACAGTATGGGCTGATATACAGTATGGGCTGTCTGATATACAGTATGGGCTCCCTGATATACAGTATGTGCTGTCTGATATACAGTATGGGCACCCTGATATACAGTATGGCCTGATATACAGTATGGGCTGATATACAGTATGGCCTGATATACAGTATGGGCTGATATACAGTATGGGCTGATATACAGTATGGGCTGCCTGATATACAGTATGGGCTGCCTGATATACAGTATGGCCTGATATACAGTATGGGCTGTCTGATACACAGTATGGGCTGCCTGATATACAGTATGGGCTGATATACAGTATGGGCTGTCTGATATACAGTATGGGCTGCCTGATATACAGTATGGGCTGTGTGATATACAGTATGGGCTGCCTGATATACAGTATGGGCTGCCTGATATACAGTATGGGCTGCCTGATATACAGTATGGGCTCCCTGATATACAGTATGGGCTGCCTGATATACAGTATGGGCTGCCTGATATACAGTATGGGCTGATATACAGTATGGGCTGCCTGATATACAGTATGGGCTGACTGATATACAGTATGGGCTGACTGATATACAGTATGGGCTGATACACAGTATGGGCTGCCTGATATACAGTATGGGCTGATATACAGTATGGGCTGTCTGATATACAGTATGGGCTGTCTGATATACAGTATGGGCTCCCTGATATACAGTATGGGCTGATATACAGTATGGGCTGTCTGATATACAGTATGGGCTGTCTGATATACAGCATGGGCTGCCTGATATACAGTATGGGCTGATATACAGTATGGACTGTCTGATATACAGCATGGGCTGCCTGATATACAGTATGGGCTGATATACAGTATGGGCTGTCTGATATACAGTATGGGCTGCCTGATATACAGTATGGGCTGATATACAGCATGGGCTGCCTGATTTACAGCATGGGCTGCCTGATATACAGCATGGGCTGCCTGATATACAATATGTGCTGTCTGATATACAGTATGGGCTGCCTGATATACAGTATGGGCTGCCTGATATCCATGATGGGCTGCCTGATATACAGTATGGGCTGATATACAGTATGGGCTGATATACAGTATGGGCTGCCTGATATACAGCATGGGATGCCTGATATACAGTATGGGCTGTCTGATATACAGTATGGGCTGCCTGATATACAGTATGGGCTGCCTGATATACAGCATGGGCTGTCTGATATACAGTATGGGCTGTCTGATATACATTATGGGCTGCCTGATATACAGCATGGGCTGCCTGATATACAGTATGGGCTCCCTGATATACAGTATGGGCTGCCTGATATACAGCATGGGCTGCCTGATATACAGTATGGGCTGTCTGATATACAGTATTATGGGCGTATACAGTATAGGCTGATATACAGTATGGGCTGTCTGATATACAGCATGGGCTGATATACAGTATGGGCTGATATACTGTATGGGCTCCCTGATATACAGTATGGGCTGCCTGATATACAGCATGGGCTGCCTGATATACAGTATGGGCTATCTGATATACAGTATGGGCTGATATACAGTATGGGCTGATATACAGTATGGGCTGTCTGATATACAGCATGGGCTGATATACAGCATGGGCTGTCTGATATACATCATGGGCTGTCTGATATACAGTATGGGCTGCCTGATATACAGTATGGGCTGCCTGATATACAGTATGGACTGATATACAGTATGGGCTGTCTGATATACATTATGGGCTGTCTGATATACAGTATGTGCTGTCTGATATACAGTATGGGCACCCTGATATACAGTATGGGCTGATATACAGTATGGGCTGTCTGATATACAGTATGGGCTGCCTGATATATACAGTATGGGCTGATATACAGTATGGGCTGTCTGATATACAGTATGGGCTGATATACAGTATGGGCTGTCTGATATACAGTATGGGCTCCCTGATATACAGTATGGGCTCCCTGATATACAGTATGGGCACCCTGATATACAGTATGGGCTGTCTGATATACAGTATGGGCTGCCTGATATACAGTATGGGCTGCCTGATATACAGTATGGACTGATATACAGTATGGGCTGTCTGATATACATTATGGGCTGTCTGATATACAGTATGTGCTGTCTGATATACAGTATGGGCACCCTGATATACAGTATGGGCTGATATACAGTATGGGCTGTCTGATATACAGTATGGGCTGTTTGATATACAGTATGGGCTGATATACAGTATGGGCTGTCTGATATACAGTATGGGCTGCCTGATATACAGTATGGGCACCCTGATATACAGTATGGGCTGTCTGATATACAGTATGGGCTGCCTGATATACAGTATGGGCTGTCTGATATACAGTATGGGCTGATACACAGTATGGGCTGCCTGATATACAGTATGGGCTGATATACAGTATGGGCTGCCTGATATACAGTATGGGCTGACTGATATACAATATGGGCTGACTGACAGTATGGGCTGCCTGATATACAGTATGGGCTGATATACAGTATGGGCTGTCTGATATACAGTATGGGCTGTCTGATATACAGTATGGGCTATACATTATGGGCTGCCTGATATACAGATGGGCTGCCTGATATACAGTATGGGCTGATATACAGTATGGGCTGATATACTGTATGGGCTCCCTGATATACAGTATGTGCTGTCTGCCTGATATACAGTATGGGCTGATATACAGTATGGGCTGCCTGATATACAGTATGGGCTGATATACAGTATGGGCCTGATATACAGTATGGGCTGCCTGATATACAGTATGGGCTGCCTGATATACAGTATGGGCTGCCTGATATACAGTATGGGCTCCCTGATATACAGTATGGGCTGCCTGATATACAGTATGGGCTGCCTGATATACAGTATGGGCTGATATACAGTATGGGCTGCCTGATATACAGTATGGGCTGTCTGATATACAGCATGGGCTGTGTGATATACAGTATGGGCTGTCTGATATACAGTATGGGCTGATATATAGTATGGGCTGCCTGATATACAGTATGGACTGTCTGATATACAGCATGGGCTGATATACAGTATGGGCTGCCTGATATACAGTATGGGCTGCCTGATATACAGTATGGGCTGTCTGATATACAGTATGGGCTGTCTAATATGTAATATACTGTCTTATATATAGTATGGACTGTCTCATATAGTACACTGTGTAATGTATAATACAGGCTGTCTAATGTATAATATACGAGTCATACTAAAAGGAATGACCGATCGGAATGCCCATAGACTTTAACAAGGCAGTGGAATGCCCATAGACTTTAACAAGGCAGTGGAATGCCCATAGACAATAATGGAAGTAAATGAATTGCCCATAGAGAATAATGGAAACAAAATATTTCAATTAGAGGTAAAACTATTAGACATATGAAATAAATCTTTCGCTGACATACTCTCCAGACAAAATAAAAATCAATGATTTAAAAAAAAAAAAAATATATATATATCAGAATTTTTTTATTTAAATCTGATTTTTTTTTTATTTAAATAGGATTTTATTTTATATAAAATGCTTTTTGAGGAAAATATATGACCATCCAAAGGTTATTCCATCATGAAAAAAGATAATTTTTGAATTACGTCGAATAAGGCTGTATATGTTTAATTTATTTGGTAAATACATTCCATTAATCCATTCACAATGTCATGCTCTTCCAGAGGGTTTTTGTAAGATTGTTGGGCAGTTTCTCTGCCTACAAGATGTTATCACAGATGCTTGGTTTACTTTTGCAGTTCTCAAAACTGAATTTGACTCAGCAGAGATCACATGCCTCTTCTTCACAGCAAAAATGTATAACATGAACAGAGTTGAGAAAAAGACCTTAATCCTATTGTTCTACAAACCTATGAATACAGAATCAACCCCTTCAGTGCTAAGTTTCAAGAAGTTCAGTGAATAGAATAGAAACAATATTATTCGGATTGTTTGGAGTGGAATAGATCTGCACAAGAAGAAAGTTAAACTAAGTGTGAGGAGGAAGGGGGGAGCAGACAAGCCGTACAAAATGAAAGTGAAACTTTCTGAGCACAGTACTGCACAGCCACAGACAGACAAATCTTTGGATCTTTTTGTGACCTGAGGTTTAACAAATGTGATAAAAACTAGCAGCTCAGAAAAAGAGTTAATTGATGAAAAAATTGCCCAGTTTGTTTATGCAACGAACTCTTCTTTCCGTGTGACTGAGAAGCCACATTTCATTAATATGGTTCAGTCACTGAGACCAGGATACAGTCCACCCAGCAGAGCAGATGTTGCAGGGAAACTGCTGGATAAAGTGTATGACGGAGAAATGGAGCAATGTGTAACAGCTCTGGAGGGTAGAATTGTTACGCTAAGTATTGATGGGTGCAGTAATGTCCACAATGGTCCTATTGGATGTGCTTGTATAACAGAAGAAGGGAAAGTCTTCCTTGCACAAACAATTGATAGGTCAGGACATGCACACACAGCAGAATACTTACATGAAGTGGCAGTAAAAGCTACAATAACACGTGAACAAAAATTCAAATGTCTAGTACGCAGTTTGGTCACAGACAATGCTGCAAATGTATCCAAGATGAGTAGAAATTTAGAAGAGCAGGAAGGGAATACAAAGCTAATAACATATGGTTGCACCTCTTAGCCAAAGACTTAAGTGTTCCAGAAATAAAGACTAATGTTGTTGAAATTGCTAAATACTTCCGTAACAATCAGTTTGCTGCAGCAGCTTTCAAAGGATGGGTGGAACCAAGCTAACGCTCCCACAAGATGTTAGATGGAACTCTGTGCTGGGCTGTTTTGAGCAGTGTATCAAGAACTGGCCTATTCTGATGACAGTCTGTGAACAAAATCGAGATAAAATAGATGGCACTGTCACGGCCAAAATCCTCAACATTGGGCTTAAGAGAAATGTTGAACATATGCTGAGCATCCTGAAACCCATCTCTGAAGCTTTAAACAAAATACAGAAAAATAGCTGTTTTATTGCTGATGCTGTTGAAATTTGGAAGGAACCGAGTGAACACTTAAAAACAGAACTACACACGGACAGAATTAAATTACAAGCATTAAAATAACAAATGGGACAAGTACTGTCTCCAGCTCATTTTTTGGCAGATATTGTCAATATCCAGTACCAGGGTCAGTGATGGCAAACCTATGGCACGCGTGCCACGGGTGCGCTCTCTGTGGGCATTCGGCCATAGGTCGCCAGGGGAGGGGGCTGCTGGAGCCGACTACACCGGTCGGCAGCAATGCAGAGTAGGCATCTGCCTGCCCAAAAATGGCAGGTGCCTACCATGGCAACGCTCCACACAGCATTGCGTGGCAGGACAGGAGAGCTTACCACCACCGGACCACCATGGATGGTTGTGTCCCCCTCTCCTTTACCAATGGTAAGAAGAAGTGAGGGGGGGAATAAAGATTTTATATATGTTTTTTCTATGTATCTTTACCACCCCCCGCACAGCAACCCCCCACACAGCACAACACCCCTACCACTCATACAGCACTCCTACCCCACAGACAGCAACCCTACCCCCCCCACACACAGCACCACTACTCCCCCACACACAGCACCACTACTCCCCCCACACACAGCACCTCTACCCCCACACACAGAACCACTACCCACCCCCAAACACAGCCCTACCCACCCCCACACACAGCACCCCTACCCCCACACACAGCACCTCTACCCCCACACACACAGCATCCCCTCCTCACACACACAGCACCTGCTCCCCCCACACACCACCCTACCCACCACACAGGACCCTGCCCCCACATATCCCTACCCCCACACACAGCACCCCCACCCACACACACAGCACGCCCCCCCATACACACAGCAGCCCTCACACACACACACACACACACAGCACTCCACACCCTTACACACAAACACATACACTGCACCCCTCAATGCAATATTTGTGTGTGTGTGTATTCAGCACACTGTGTGTTTGTGTGTATGTATTCAGCAGTCTGTGTGTACGTATTCAGCGGACTGTGTGTATGTATTCAGCAGACTGTGTGTATGTATTCAGCAGTCTGTCTGTGTGTGTATTTAGCAGACTGTGTGTATGTATTCAGCAGTCTGTCTGTGTGTGTATTTAGCAGACTGTGTGTATGTATTCAGCAGTCTGTCTGTGTGTGTATTTATCAGACTGTGTGTATGTATTCAGCAGTCTGTGTGTACGTATTCAGCGGACTGTGTGTATGTATTCAGCAGACTGTCTGTGTGTGTATTTAGCAGACTGTGTGTATGTATTCAGCAGTCTGTCTGTGTGTGTATTTAGCAGACTGTGTGTATGTATTCAGCAGTCTGTCTGTGTGTGTATTTAGCAGACTGTGTGTATGTATTCAGCAGTCTGTCTGTGTGTGTATTTAGCAGACTGTGTGTATGTATTCAGCAGTCTGTCTGTGTGTATATTTAGCAGACTGTGTGTATGTATTCAGCAGTCTGTCTGTGTGTGTATTTAGCAGTCTGTGTGTGAATGTGTTCAGCATTCTGTGTGTACGTATTGCATTTGTTGGAGATATTAATCAATATGAGCTTAAGTTGATATAGTTATATAATTATTTAAAATTTGTATAAATTAACTCTCTGTTGTTGTGTTCTTCTTTTAAAACAAAATATGTTAATTAGTTTGGACAACTTTACGAG